GACAGCAACTTGTCTGTTCCCCTTCCCCCAATTCCCCAGCACTATTCCAATCCCCCCAATTCCCCAATAAAAATCTTTAAAAAAAAAAATCGTTAGCTATAGTTAGGTTTAGGTGGTGGGATTTTGAATTACTTTTTTAAACCTTCTCTATACTTTTTTGTATATTTTTTCAAATTTTTAATTAATGAACATGGTACTTTTATAATGAAAAAGTAAATGTTAAAAAAACCTTTTCCCCTGAGATCAGGAATAAGACAAGGATGCTTGCTTTTCCACTTCTGTTCAACATAGCATTGGAAGTTCTAGCCAGAGCAGTTAGTCAATAAAAAGAAATAAAAGACATCTAAATTGGAAAGGAAGAAATAAAATTATCTCTGTTCACAGATTACACGATCTCATGTATAGAAAACCCACATATCTAGAGTCCAGGAAAAAAACCTTAGAATTAATAAACGAATTCACAAGAGTTGCAGGATACAAAATACAAAAATCTCATTTCTATACCCTAGCAATGACCAATTTAAAAAAGATATTAAGAAAAAAAATCCTTTTACAATAGCATCAAAAAGAATAAAATACTTAGGAATAAATTAACCAAAGAGGTGAAAGACTTGCACACTGAAAACTATGAAACATTGCTAAAACAAATTAAAGAAGACTTAAATAAATGGTAAGATATCTCATGTTCATGGATTGGAGACTTAATATTGTTAAGATGACAGTACCACACAAAGCAATCTGCAGATTCAATGCAATTCCTATCAAAAATCTTAACAGCATTTTTTTTTATTTTTTTTTTTTAGCTGAGCCATCCTGCTACCTATTGGCAGCTTAGCGGCTGCTCAGCTCGGGCTGGCCTCGAACCGCTGTTGCTCAGAGCTCAAACTCTTGAGCGAGCTCTTAACCAACTGAGCCATTCGGCCGGCCCTTAACAGCATTTTTTGCAGAAATAGAAAAACCCATCTTGAAATACATATCCCAGGGAACCCCTCAATAGCCAAAAAATCTTTAAAAAGAACAAAATTGGAGGACTCACACTTCCTGATTTCAAAACTTACTACAAAGCTACAATCAAACAACAGTGTGGCATTGAGTTAAGGTCAGACAATGGAATAGAATAGAGAGCCCAGAAATAAACCCTTGCATATATGTTTAAATGATTTCAACAAGGGTGCCAAGACCATTCAATGAGCAAAGGACAGTCTTTTCAACAAATGGTGCTAAGACAACTGGATATCCATATACAAAATAATGAAGTTAGACCATTATGTTATGCCGTATACTAACTCAAAATGGAGCATAGGCCTAAAAGTAAGAGCCAAAACAAACTCTTAGAAAAAAACATAGTAGTAAATCCTTGTGACCTTGGATTAGGCAGTGATTTCTTGGATATGATACCAAAAGGAAAAACAACAAAAGAAAAAATATATAAATTGGACTTCGTCAAAATTAAAAACTGTTCGGGCCGGCCGAGTGGCACGATGGTTAAGAACTGGCTTGGGACGCCAGAGGGCCCGGTTCGGATCCCACATATGAGGGCCAGTGACACTGCCCTCCACAGCTAAGATGCTGAACAACAGCTCAACCTGGAGCTGGGCTGCCAT